CCCCCAGCAGCCCCATCCTGGCTGGGACAGGCCTGGATCCCAGGGAGCTGCCTCTGTCCTGGGCACCTGAGACTGAGCTGAGGTAGATGTCAGTGCACTTCCTGGGCGTGAACTCAGCACTAAGGTTGGTGTCAGGAGTGTTTGTGTGACTTCAACATGGGTGTGCCTCACTGCTCAGTGTGTTGTTTTTAGGGCTGTGTATGTCATGGTCGGTGTTGGTTTGGTTGGTAACTTTAGCTACAATCTCATGAAGACGTTTTCAAAGGAATTTTCTGATAATTTAAAGACAATCTCCAGCTGCAATCTCACCCTCTCTGAATGTTCCTTGGGATCCTCCTGTTTTTGTCACCAGTGCAGACGGCAGAGTGTCTAGAGGGGGAAAGGAGAAAGGAGATGAGATTTCAGGCTTTCACATTTATAACAGCATCCCCACTCTCAACTCATAGAACTGTCTTTTAATTATGACAGAGAAACACATCAAGAAACACTCAGGTATTTAATATAAAGAGGTCTGAAACAGTCTCTTTCCTCTCTCATTAAAATTCAGGCATCTCCCAGCAATGGGACCCACATCCCTGCAGCATCACAACCATCCCTGGACAGACAATCTGTCAGTGAGATTTACTTTTCCCCTCCTCATCCTCTCCCACCCTTCACACCCCAGTTGGTCCGTCTCATTCACTTGCTGCCTTTTGTCATAACTTAGACCCAGATCATGCAAAGACTTTGGGATAAAAGTAACTTTACCCACTTTGGTCCCTTTGACACTAATGGGATATTGAGAGTTTGCTAAATCCTGGCTCTAACTGTGAGCTGTTGGGTCTGTTTACTCAGGGTCTCTACAGAGAGCAGCACGACAGGGCCTTGTCCTCCATAGGCAGAAATAGAAATAGTAGTAAAACCATTTTATAAATGTGGAAATAGAGGTGGGGGAAAGTTGACTCAATGGGACAAATTCACCCCGTACCAGCAGGAGAGGGGTGACTCCGCTATTCAGTGGCTGCAGGGGCCGGTGCAGACTTTGGCACAGGCTGAGGAAGTTCTGAAGCCAGCCAGAGTTACAGCCCTATGACAATGGGCCCCGTGTGTCTTGCCCAGCGTGCAGAGT